TATGGATGTTGGTTGGGATCTCGTGGTTGACCTCTCGGGGGCGTCTGGAAGGCAACTTGAAGCCTCTTGGGGGCCGTTGTGGGGCCTCTTGGGGCCTCTTTTGGGCCTCTTGGGGCTTCCGGAGGCCGTCTTCGGCGCATCTTGGGGGCGTCTTGGCGCCGCTCGGGGGCCTCTTGGGGCCTTTTGGGGGCCTCTTGGGGCTTCCCGGGGGCCTCTTAGGGCGGAAGTCTCAAATTCTCGGTTCCTCGTCCCCCTCTTGGCCGTTTCTTGGGCCCGTCTTGGGGCCCTATTGGGCCGTCTTGGGCGCCTCTTAGGCTGTCCTGGGGCCTTCTTGGGCCGTCTTGGGGCCCTCTTGTAGGCCTCTTGGGGCGCTCCTGGGGGCCTCTTGGGGGCCTCTTGGGCCGTCTTGGAGTGTCGGAAAGCCGAAAAGGCGAGAAGGCCAAAATCCTTCAAAAACTGATGTAAAATTGACGATTTTGGCGCCTGGGGCCCTCTTGGGTGTGCTCTTGGGGCTCTCTTGGAGCGTCTTGAGGCTGCAAAGTGTAACATGAGGATTGAATTGGGAAAATGAGGAGGTGAGACAGACTGATGGATGAGGAAGAGGGGATGTGGCCTGAGCAGGGGGAGAAGGACGAGGAGAACAGAGGAACGAAGGAAGCGATGAGGACGAAAAGGAAGGGAGCGAGGAAGAGGTAGTTCACCGTGGGGGCTGCTGGGAAGGGGGGGCGAGCACACACGCGCACATGTGCGTAAATCGATACATCTATCTATTTGCATACATAAAAATATGTATCCCTCTGTGTGTGTCTCCCCCTCTCCCTCCCCTGCTCTCTTACCCCGCAGTGGACCTCCCCTGTCTCCCAAAGAGGGCGGGTGGGCACAGCATCTGTCAGTGAGGAGTGGCGGCGAGCTGCGCCATACCCCTAGGCTGGGCGGGAAGGCAGCACTGCCACGGGCCGGGGCAGTGGAGTCGAGCTGGCCTTGGGTGGCACGGCCGAAGTGCTCCACCGAGGCCCGCGGGGCCTCCACGGTGGCTCTTGGCTCAACCCGTCCCGCCCGAGTGCCGCCCAGCGCTGCCCTTGGAAGCTGATCAGCAGGCGCCCGCCGAGGCCCGCGGGGCTTCCGCGCCGATTCTTGGCTCAGCGCGTCCAGCCCCAGTGGCGCCCAGCGCTGCCGCCTTGGAGCGGGTCGGCTGGCCTGGCCGCTCTCCGGGGCCATGCTGAAGCTGGTGGTCACCGCGCCCGGCAAGCTGAAGGCGGAGCTCGAGTGCTCCCCCGACGCCACGTTTGGGGACGTCAAGCGGCAGCTGCAGGAGAAGCTGGGCGTGCCGACCGACAAGCAGCGCCTGCTGTGCAACGGCCGGGAGCGCAAGGACGCCGGCGAGACCCTGACCGGCGCCGGCGTTGGGGCGAAGAGCAAGCTGATGCTCATGCTGGCGCCGGGCTACACGATGCCGGCGGCGCCGCCGGCCGCCGAAGACGCGGCCGCGCCCGCTGGAGCCGCGGGTGCCCAGGACCCGCAGTTCGAAGGCACTCGGACAACCACCGTGCCTGGCCAGGGCCGTCCTGGGCACCGGCATGGTGTGTCAATAGGCCGAGGCCTGGAGGGTCTAGACACTATCCTGGGGCCCAGGGTGGCCCAAGCCAGGCATGATGGTGATGTGTAGTGCCCTCGGCGTGATGGAGGCCGAGCAGCCCACGGCGCCCAAGGAGGCAGAGGGCGAGCTGCCCTGGCCAGGCGGCGCGACAGCAGGCGAGGGCGTGAGCGCCGCCGGCACGGTGCACGTGCGCCGGGGGCGGGACCGCTACCACGTGCGAGTGCCGCAGGGCCTGGCGCAGGCGACCTTCGGGCAGCTGGCCGAGTACCTGGCCGGCGCGTTCCTCGGCGGCGTGCCGGCCAGCGAGCTGCGCTTCCTGGCCGGCGGCCGCACGCCGGGCGCGTCGGACGCACTGGGCGCGCCGGGTGCGGCCGAGGCGCAGGTCATGCTGCTCTTCCGCGAGGGCTTCCACACCAACGCCGACTCGGCCATCTGGCTGAGGGACTCCCGCGCGGAACTCAAGGAGGCCGAGGAGGTGCTGGAGAGGCTGGGCAAGCGAATAGAGGCGAACTTCTCCAACGAGGAGACGGCGCTGAAGCTCGCCGAGGTGGGAGGCGTCGTGGCAACCCTCAGGCAGAGCGTGGACAGCGTCCGAGTCTTCGAGTCGTCGGTGGCGGAGTTGCAGCAGTTCCGCGAGCAGGTGATCGCTGCGGAGGCCAAGGCCGAGGCGCTCCGGAAGAGCATGAGGCTGTGACGCACCTGGGGCCCGGGCGCGGTGGAGGCTGTGGATGAGCCGAGGTACGTTCCGCGAAGCCGGGCGCAGGGAAATACATTCGAGCTCGGGGTCTTCTCTTTCCTTCTTCTCTCCAAGGGGGTGCGTCGGAGGCGTCCAGGCAAGTTACAAACAAGCCCAAGGCAAGCGTGGCACACTATGCGTTTTTGGTCCACGAGAAGCAATGGGCAATCGACTCCGCAAGTTATTTGTACGCTTAAGGCGACCTGAGAAGCAACCGACGAGCTGACAGCGAGCTGGAACGCAAACGCCATACGAGTGAGCATGTCTGCCAACGGCAAGCCAGCAGCAATCGAGATGCAAGGAAACGAATAGCTGAAATTAAGTTGAAGGAGCTGAAGGAGACGCGAAACAGCAATTAACACACACACATACAGCGGCGGCGCGCACTAAGAAACCATATGCTTTTCTCAGGGTATCCTTGGTTTCTTCGCCCCGCGCGCTGCGCGGCGACTTCCCGCGGCCGTTGAAGGAGCTGCTGCGTTCAGAGTGCTCCAGGTTTCCCCTCTGGTGCACTTCGCGCGCGGGTTTTCAGGGTTGGGTTTCTTGCGAGGGTTTCTTGCGGCCGCGCTCGCACTGTACACACACACACACACACTCTTCTTCCTCCGCAGGCGAAGTGACGCCACCGTCGCGAAAGCAAGAGGGGAGCGCGATGCCGCCGACCGTGCCCCACGTTGCGCGTGGAAGACCAGCGGGGGACCCAGGCCTGCCGCGCGTGCACGAGGGCGCAAGCACACATCAAGCAGTGGCGAGGCGCCCTGGCGTGCCCATAGTCCTGCCAAACAATGGTCTAAGAACCTCTTGTTGTTCCCACGAACTGTTCTTAGAGCATTTCTGGCGGAGTCTGTCTTGTTTGAACACATCGGGTATTTCTGTGTTTAGAACATTCTTGGGTTTAAGAACATCTCGCGGTAGGACTATAGGAATGCCGGGACGGTCGGTCCCTGCTCAAACACACACACACATATATATACATGGTTCATTTCTAAGTATTCGAAGGTTCTTTGATTTCTGGGGGGTCAAGATCCTTTCATTTCTAGTCGTTCTATCCTGGGCCTCCTCCTCTCCACTGGGGGGGGGTTAGAGACGAGCTCAACTAGAAATGAGCACGATCAGAAATGAGCGACGTGCACACTCATCACATACACACGTACGCGCACATTTTGTTTTGCGTCGCGGCCACGTTCGAGGCGGCGCGGCGCAGAGCAGGTCAAACGAGCGTGCGCACTGGCCACGCTCACACTGCCTCAACACACACACACACCAACACAACACAACACAACACATCACAGCACAACGCAACGCAACGCAACACAACGCACACACACACACACACGCACACGCACACACGCACACACGCACACACGCACACACGCACACACGCACACACGCACACACGCAAACATCACACACGCACACACGCACACACGCACACACGCACACACGCACACACACACGCACACAACGCACACACGCACACACGCACACACGCACACACGCACACACGCACACACGCACACACGCACACACGCACACACGCACACACGCACACACGCACACACGCACACACGCACACACGCACACACGCACACACGCACACACGCACACACGCACACACGCACACACGCACACACGCACACACGCACACACGCACACACGCACGCACGCACATGCCCGCCTTCGGCGCCTCGCATTCCGAAGGTGAGCAGGCCTGCGATGTGGTTGAAGGGCGTGGCCCTTGCTGCCGCCGACGGGGTCAGTGATGATCCCATCCGCCGAGTGCGAGGTCAGCGATCTCTGGCGCGCAGAGCGCAGCGGCCACCTGCCAGCACGTGGTGCCAGACGGTGGCGCTTCTCTGCCGCGCGCGTGAGTACATGGGCAGCGTCGAACTGGAGTGCTTGGCTGGGATCACTAAGCAGCTCGCCGACGATGCCGTCGCTACCGATGTGAAGGAGTCGAAGGCGCGCTTCGGGGATTGGGTCGACGGCAACTCTGCTGGCGGGGGGGCTGCGCTGCATGCTTTCACGAAAGAGCCTGCGGTGAACGCCTCCGCGATCCAAGGGGGTGCAGTGCCGCTGGGCAAGATGGAGGCGGTCAAGGCGCTGGTGTGCGAATGGTCGGAGTACTGGCGCACCACGGCCGAGCCTCCGAAGCTGAGTTGGCCTGCTGACCTTGGCGAGCGTCCCAGGCGGCCGACCCCTGACCAGCTACGTCGAGTATGTGCAACCTTCAAGGTCCACGGAGGGCGTAGTTTCGACAGTTTCAACCCGCGCGACTTCGGCGTGCGGGACGATGCGGGCCTGGAGGCGCTCGCAGATGTGATCGAGTTGGTTGAGCAGCAATGTTGTTGGCCTGACTTTATCAATAAGCTTGCATTCGTACCTAAGCGTGAAGGTGGAGTGCGGCCAATCGCCCTTCTTGCCGCGCTTGTTCGAGTGCATGGGCGGTTGAGGAGGCCCATAGCCACAGTGTGGGAAACCACCCGCAATCGCGGCTACTGGTGGGCGTCGGCTGGCAAGAGTTGTGATCGTGCAGTGTGGCAACAGTTGGTATGGAGTGAGTGGGTCTCCATGAAGATGGCTGGAGATCCCAGCGCCGACTGGGCCACTGCAACGCTATTACTTGACTTGAGGAAGGCCTTTGCACAGATCAGGCATGACAACTTGTTGAGATTGGCTCAGAAGTGTGTCTTTCCTTTGTGGTTGTTGAAGCTGCAAATGGATATTTATACCAAGGCCCGTGCTCTCGTGCTGGATGGTGCCGTATCTGATCTGGTGTACGTGCGCCAGACCGTGCTTGCAGGCGACTCGTTTGCCACAACTTTCATGAAGCTGCAGCTGATCGAGGGTGTCGATCGCATGCAGCAGGCGGTGCCCACGGTTTCCCCCGCCATTGCGGTTGATGGTTTGGTTCTGCAGCGGCACGGCTGTGAGCATCGGGTGATGCGAGACATCGTCTTGGCGGCGCAGGTGCTGGTGAACGGTCTCAGCAGGGGCAGCATCCGCATCCCGCCAAGAAGTCGCAGGTCCTTGCATCAAGTACGGACCGCACTCGCACGTTGAAGGCCAAGCTGATTACGATCACGGGTGCTCAAGCAGCCAGGCACGCGAGGAACCTCGGCACTGATTTTGCTCAAGGACGCGCGCTTGGGCGACCGGTGCGACGCGCGCGACTGCGAGCTGCTGAGCGACGGGTACCCAGAGTGCGGCGTATATTGGGCAATGGAGGTCGGCGTGCTATCGCAGCTCGCATCGCCAAGCAGGGCCTCGAGGCAGGTTATGCGCACAGCGTGAACTGCACGGGGCTGAGCGATGCCGACCTTCAGTCTGATCGGTCGGTCGCCTTCCGTTCTACGGAGGCCCGGGTAGACGGCGAGAGTAGCGCGCTCTGTCTCATGCTGTCGCCTGTGCGCGATTTCGACCCCATCTTTCGAGCCACGATCGTTCCAGTCTGTATGCTGCGCCGTGCCGTCTGGGACAGTTGGATGCCGCAATCTATTCTGTCGTCGGTGCTGGAGTGGACTTCTACGCACGCGCAGTCTTGGGCTCAGGTACGTGGGCCCCTCAGCGCGGCATTCATGTCCTTGCTGCGCGTCGTCTGGGCGGCGGCCAGCATCAGCACCTGGATCAACGCGGCTACTGGCGCAGTGTATAGGCCGCTGGATTTTTTGCCGTGGTATACCAACCAAGTGGTTCGGAAAGCAGTTCTTTGGTGGCAGTACCAGAAGTGTGCTGACGAGCTGCCGCATTTGGACAACGGTTTCAACATCATGCAGCTGAGGAAGTGGATCTATCGAGGACGGCCCACGGCGTCGGAAGGACGTGACTGGCCTACCCTCGGTGCAGAAGAGCGGCGGTACGCCAGGTCGCTCATCGTCGGCGGGCAATGGACCAACCATCGCCGCTTTCACAATAATCCTCGGTATGCGCAATCAGAAGATTGCAACTTGTGCCCTGGGCAAGCTGGCACGCTGCGGCACCGTCATATGGAGTGTGCTCACCTTTGGCCGCAGGCGGAGTTGCCATCAGCCATTGCCACGCTAAAGAGGCAGGCGGACCACCCCAACATCATCACGCTGGTCGAGCGGCTGCTGCTAGTACGGCCACGAGTGGTGTGGCAGCCACCTCAGGACGAGATCCTGTCCTCTGTCAAGTGGTTGATGGGGAATGGTGCTATGCCCTTTCACAATGATGAGCTGTTCACTGACGGCCCGGCGTTCGACCTTGGCATCGATTATGGCATGGCTGGCTGAGCGGTGGTGCAGATTCCACTTGGGCCTGGGTGGTTTGACCCTGGTCCGAAGTGCGCCATTCGCGCCCTGGGATCGCCATTGATGGGGGTGCACCAATCCGTGGAAGGTGCTGAGCTTCTCGCCGTGCTCATTCTTCTTCGTCACAGCCTGGCGCCCATCACGGTGCGGATTGATGCCAGTTACGTGGTTGACGGGCTTCTGGTGCGGGGGCCTGAGGGTACTTGTGGTGCCTCCCACAGCTGGGCTTTCCTGTGGCGGATGGCGTGGTGTGCCATCGAAGATTTCGGTGGGCTCGGCCCCGACGGGCTCACCGTGCTCAAAGTTAAAGGACACGGCACTCTGAGAGATGTGGAAGCGGGTCGGCTGTCTCGCTGGGAGCGTCGGGGCAACCTTGAGGCCGACGAGTGGGCCAAGCACGCCACTCGGCCGTACGCTTTGGGCGAAGCTGATAGGACCAAGATCAGGCGGTCGCACTTTCTGGTGGACGGCGCCGTGGCCTGGGTGTCCTGTGCTGGTGCCCCTGCGTCAGCCGCCCGTGACGACATTGACATTACTGTGGTGATCAAGCTGCCGCCGAAAGTTCGTCTCAGCCTCGCGGAGCACGACTTCGTGGTCGAGGCGAGCTGCTGGCGGTGCTCAAACTGTGGACTGTCCGCCGCCACCGAGAATTCCAAGCGTAAGCTGTTCAGCCTGCCCTGCATTCCACGGCCTGTGACGAGTGCCCCGCGCTCGGCCGACACGTTAGGAGTGAAACGACCTGCAGCAGCGGCGGGGCTTG